AACTGCTTCATGCGACATGTTTTTGCCAGGCAGGTTTTTACAGTTCCATACTCTCACCATGCAGCACATTTTTTTTGTGTCGGAGTTGACTAGATGTGCATTACTAAAAGGTTCTCCCATTTTGTAGTTCAGGCCGACATTCTTATCAACGACACCGCCTCCGATTAATTAAAGTGATCTGCGAGAAGAAAATTTATCACCGAGAGATTTAACTTTATTTACTAACTTGAAAACAGACTATTATTACATGAAAAACTGGTTTCACCTCACGTTCAAAGAATGAGAAATAAATATAAGAATAAGAAAAAAATTCTCCATCAGAGCCAACCCCAAAATTTCGGAACATCAACGTGTTTTGGTAAAACGTTAGTCTTTATTTTACGCTCAAGATTGGGCGAACGAGGAATGCGTGTAAACAGTTGGTAAAGAGTATTATTGTCTGCCTCATACGTCGCACTCATACGGACACAATTAAGCCACAATAAAATAACGCATCAAATTAAAGGCTATTGATATGCATTAAGGATAATCGAGTTCCACCAACCAACTATTTCCCAGGGAAACTCATTCAGTCGTGTTTGTGACAACCACTGAGAACCTCATAATCAGACAAAGGAGGTAAAATGCAGCTGTCTCATTTCGCCTAATGTTTCCCTTAAGGAGGAAAAGCTCACCATAGCTGTTCGCTGCAAGAACGGGCGTTCGCTGCAAGAACGGGCGTTTCTTTCTGAAGACATGCTGTCTGTTTTCTATTATTTCGTTCTCACCGTTTTGGCTTCCCTAAGACCAGAAGGACGAGGTAAGATTTTGCTATAACCAGTTCACACCAATGCTTAAACATGTTTTAGAGCTGTTTTGTTAAATTTGGTTGAAAATTGTCTTCTTCTAATTAGCTGCTTAAACCGATGTTTTTCAGCTTCAAATTTAGCAGAAGGAAAATAAAAATTAGTGTTTACCTGAAACTTATGGAAAATTCAGTTATTCACATATCTGTTTTAATTTAACCCGGTTGATGTTGTGAATGGGGTATTATTAAAGTTTTCTCTATCATCATATAACTTTTTATTATCTTTATCTACATAACTAAGCCTTGAAATATTCACATAAGCATCTCCTATTAGTACTAAAAACAATAATTATTTTATTCATCTACATACCTGGAGTGGCATAAGACAACCAAATATCTCAAAGGAGGTCTTTTATTTTATTTTGCAATATTTTGAAAATGACAAAATTTCAGGGAACATGGTTTCTAGACTGAGCCAAAAGGGAAGGTTTACTTTGAATAAGCAGTCACTGTCTCTACAATGTTGTCCGTGAACCGCGTTTGATTTTCGACTACTGGCAGACCTTGAAAAAAAATGAGCACCTTAATTTTCGCGCTGTTTGGCTGTTTGGTACAGTTCGGCTTCAAAGTTGATGTAAAAGCTGGTTGCGTTTTTTGTTGAACGAAAATCGAGGGGCTCATGTACTTTAATGAGTGGGCAGATGAAAGGAATAAGTTGTTACCGATCCACCGCAGAGAGAAAGTTTAAAATTAGCCTGTGGAACAATTTCACTTCACCCAACCAAAACAGGTGATTTCGACAGAAAATTTTGTTAAACAAACTCTACGCAGTCTTGCGTGATCGTAACCGAGACTGATGGCAATGATCGAGTCATTGAACTCCTTAGGATATTTTAGGTTCGAAAATATACTTTCAGCCTTTATAGTGCACACTCAAGCACAAGTGTGCATTCATGAAGATATAACACCGAACCCGAAACAAATTAAACGAATGACCGCCTCTGCATCGGGAAAAATGAATTGTCGGCGGTATCTCTACTCGATCAATTTCTCGTCTGCTCATTCATTCGAAATTGTCCAGACCTTAAAAAGCTCATAATTTCCCAAAACTTTCAAGTCCTATTACGGTACATTCAGCTCTAATTCTCCCTGCACCTCATTTCCAGAACCACCTGTAAAATGAAAGAATTTCCTCTTCCAGTCATTTTCGTCATAATTTATTTTTAAGGCTACATGTTTCTCTTTTGCGATGTCTTTTAAAAAAGAGTATAACACAAGGTCGGTGGGGGTTGGGGGTCCTGTTGTTCTTATTATCCACCGTTCTTAGTCAGCCTTGAGAAAAAAAAGTTTATTCATTGCTTTCGTATTACCCGGACCTCTCTATGAATTTTGTTTTTCAGGAAAAAAAATGCTGTGGATGTTTCGTTATTTTCTTGTCTGTGTTTCATCCATCAACCTTGTAACCGCTGGGGATCAATGCAGGATAGAAATTAATATTCGTGGCATGGCTCTCAAAGGTTTCGTTTTCAAAAGAATGACAGTAGCAGCTCTTCATATTTGTGATATCTTATGTGAAAGGGAAATTACCTGCCAGAGCTATAATTTCAACAGAAAAGAACAGATCTGTGAATTGAACAACCGCACAAAGGACGCAAGACCCGAGAATTTCCTCTCGGATCCAGAGTGGTTTTATATTAGCCGTTTCAACGGAAGAGGTAACTAATCAGCCAATAATGTTGGATAATAATTATCAATATTTTGGTCATACGCTCGACTTTGCTTACAGTCTGCGTTTTCTGATCTCCCGCGCTCATCGGTATTGATTTTTCTATCATCTCTTAATTGTAATAATGAACGAAATTAATATCCCTCTATCCCTTTTCTTTGTAGTTGCTTTGTAGTTTCCCACCAAAAGCGTAGCTCCAAGTTCTGCAGATAAACACACAACCCAAAATTCTCCCATTCAATTTGACGAAGAGCTAATGCTCGAAACGTTAGCTTTAAAACTCTTAACGGTGGCCAACTTACGTTATCAACTCAGTTGATAACACCAAATTACCTTGTTTTACTCTCCCACCGATGCAACACCACAGTTTCCTTAGAAACTTACCTCCATCATACAGTTTGACTTTTAGTTAACTTCTTCACTAAACTGCTTTAATGTATGAGTGAAAAACTGATAACAAATTATTTATTTCGATGTATTATTTAAAATCATACAAAAAGCTTAGGGAAAGGAGATAAAAAAGCTGGTGGCCCTAAAGGAAGGGTTCAAAAGTGTGGGGGTCTCACTTCCCAAGAGAAAGGTACTTGACAGAGCGTTTACTTTAACACATTCAAAGGCGGAAATTTAAGTGAATAGGATTAGATCCTCATTTTAATTCTCTCGTGTTTTTCAATCTCGGCTTTCGACTGGTGCACCTCTTGCCGCACAGAACTCGAACAGCATCAGCTCAGCATCTAGAAATACATTGACTATTTTTGTAAACATCAACAACTAGTCAGGTGAAGCAAACATGCAGAGAATGGCTTAAAGTCAACAGCGTGAATCAGCCGGTGTTGTGCAAGGTCAGACTCAAAGGCAAAGAAGCAATCGAAGGGGAAGAAACAAGCGAAAGTCCTACACCGTCTATTTCATTAAAAAAAACACTGGATCTTTTGGATAATAAATACAAAACAGTTGCAAAGCAACAAGGAGTCAACAGATCGCTGGTGATTAAGCGGGAAAAAACAAAAGCAAAATTCTTGCAGAACTGACTTTGACCATGACGAAGAAAAACAAGGCCAATGAGACAAAGGAGAAGGATCGCTGGGAACAGATCCCAACACACTGATAAATATCCTCTGACTACCAATCTTTTACTTGCCGAGTTTAAACTACGGAGAGCAGCAGGAAGCAAAGTGTCCAAACTTTGATTCAAAAAAAAAAAATGAAATCGCAAATCGAAGCATGCTGTGGCGCAGAAGAAGCTGCAAAATTTAAAAGAAGCAGCAATTGGTTCCACAGATTCAAGGAAAGACACAACATAGTACTGAGGAGAAGGACAAACATGAAAAAAGTCGGAGCAGATGATGGCCGGGATACGATCCAGAAATTCCACAGGGATTTGAGGAAAGCTTTGAAAACACAAAGGAGAAGAAACAAGTCCTATACAGTTGACCCAAATTATGGAAGATGGATACCTAAAAATAGATACAATATCGACCCGTTAGGTTCCTGTCCCATTTGTAAATGAGTAAGATAAAACCTGCGATACATTGGGTGCTCAGCAGGTGTGCGTGTCACAACTATCATCTGGTTTAGATAAACGACAGGCCACTTTACAACTTTCTATTGGGACTGATGGGGAACAAAATGTGAAGCCAGCTCCTATCTTCAGAGGAAAAGGGCGTGTGGCCACTGAGGAGAAAGAAAAGTATGACAAGAGAGTTGATGTGTATTTCCAGCAAAATGCTTGGATGGATGAAGAAATCAACATGCAATGAGTCCAGGACACACGATAAAGAATGATAAAGAAGAAAAAAGTTCTATTTGCAGACAATGTCAGCTTCCGAAATTCAATAATTCCGTGATTCTGGTACATTTTGAATTTGCTTGACTTTAGCTGAGTTTCGAGTTGTTTATCACCAGAACTGCTACCCCTCCCCTAATATAATATTATTATAACCCCTAATGTAATGCAGTTAATGTTAGTTCCACCCGTGAATTAATGAAAAGCCCGGCTTGCACATTGATTTCATCTATTGGTAGTCTATATAGTATTTAATTTTTAAAAACAATTTTAAGAACACCTTAAGAGCATTTTCAGGTTGGTTTTGCAGCAAACACCCAATGTATAAGGACAAAATCAGCCTGAACCCCCAAAACACTTGTTCTTTTAAGTGGGTTTTCACTGTGTAGGCAGAGCCAAAAGTAACTATGACAATTTTTCACTAGTATCATAACTTTTATTTTTTTGTGTATGTGTTTTATGAAGGATTTACAGCTGTTTTTACAAATCTTGGTAAGAGTGGAGAAAAGGGTCCAGACTCTGTTGGCAGTCACTACAAAGGTCAGGATCATGACGGACAAGTCACAGTGTCCAACGGTATTCAATTGTGGACTGTGCCACACACTGGTGAATACAGAATAGAAACAATAGGAGCCTCAGGGGGGTACAGTGAGGACAGTGTCATCAACGGAGGGAGAGGGGCGCGGATGATTGGAAACTTTATGTTGACCAAAGGTGAGAACATTAGCATACTTGTTGGTCAAAGAGGGGAAAAAGGGTATTCTAAAAAAAAAACTGGCTCAGGCGGAGGAGGTACATTTGTAGTAAGAGGAGAGAACAAGCCTTTGATCATAGCCGGAGGTGGAGGAGGAGTTGCTAACATGACAGAACAACATTCGGGATGTGATGCGTCCATAAACACAACAGGAAATGCAGGGTATAACTCGCCACCCCTGTCTGGAGGAAGTAACGGAGAAGGAGGACAAACTGATAAACCGCCCTCTGGTAGGTGAAGAATTTCCCATCTATGGCTACTGAATTACTTTTTTTGCATTCTGCTGCCATCCATCAGTATTTCGAACAAAGAGGTGGTACTTGTTGCTCAAATTTGGATTTTTTTCAAAATTACTAAAAGCCATGATATGTTAAGTTGCTAATGTCAATTGTAAATCTCTTGATTGTAGGTGGTGGTGGCGGCGGCTTCTACAGTAATGGAGAAAACTCTAAGAATTCTGGTGGAGGGGGAAAGGGAGGAAAAGGATTTCTGAACGGGGGAGAGGGGGGAACACATCGGGGTGGGTTCGGAGGTGGGGGTGGATATCTTAACCTCAATGAGTCACCTGGGGGAGGTGGAGGGTACTCTGGGGGAAGTGGAGGTGCGAATAAAAATATTTCTTGTGGGGGAGGGGGAGGCTCTTTCAACAACGGAACAAATCAGCAAAATGAATGTTGTTATAAAACTGTTGGACATGGTAAAGTGATCATAACATTTCTCCACTGAGATGCATGGCAGCACTTTCCTTAGCGTGTAGTGGTAATTCTGTTTTGAAGCCCTCATTGATGTTCATTTTTTTGCCTCAAACCCACAGGGTTGTCAGCCTGTGCTAATAGAGGAACTATTTCAGTGAAAGTACTGTATGATGTACATAGCTTTTTAGCGCCTAACACTCTAAGAGGTTCACTCCAATAGGTTCACTTCCATAGGTTCACTCCTACAGGTTCACTCCCAGAGGTTTACTCCCAGAGGTTCACTCACACATGTTCACTCTTAGAGGTTCACTCCCATAGATTCAATCCCAGAGATTCACCCCTAGAGGTCCACCTCCAGAGGTTCACTTCCAGAGGTTCTCTCCCAGATTTCCACTCCTAAAGGTTCACTTCCAGAGGTTCACTCCCAGAGATTCAACCGTAGAGGTTCACTCCCAAAGGTTCAATCCTAGAGTTTCACTCCCAAAGGTTCACTCCTAGAGGTTCACTCCTAGAGGTTCACTCTCCTGGAGGTTCACTACCACGAGTTTACTACCAGAGGTTCACTCCTAGAGGTTCACTCTCAGAGTTTCACTCCCAGATTTCCACTCCTAAAGGTTCACTTCCAGAGGTTCACTCCCAGAGATTCACCCGTAGAGGTTCACTCCCAAAGGTTCACTCCTAGAGGTTCACTCCTAGAGGTTCACTCCTAGAGGTTCACTCCCATAGATTTATTCCCAGAGATTCACCCGTAGAGGTTCACTCCCAAAGGTTCACTCCTAGAGGTTCACTCCTAGAGGTTCACTCCCAAAGGTTCACTCCCAAAGGTTCACTCCTAGAGGTTCACTCCTAGAGGTTCACTCCCAGAGGTTCTCTCCTAGAGGTTCACTCCCAGAAGTTCACTCCCAGAAGTTCACTCCCAGAGATTCCCTCCTAGAGGTTCACAACCACAGGTTCACTCCCAGAGTTTCAATCCCAGATTTCCACTCCTAGAGGTTCACTCACAGAGGTTCACTCCCGGAGATTCACTCCTAGAGGTTCACAACCACAGGTTCACTCCCAGAGTTTCAATCCCAGATTTCCACTCCTAGAGGTTCACTCACAGAGGCTCACTCACAGAGGTTCACTCCTAGAGGTTCACTCACAGAGGTTCACTCCCAGAGATTCACTCCTAGAGGTTCACAACCACAGGTTCACTCCCAGAGTTTCAATCCCAGATTTCCACTCCTAGAGGTTCACTCACAGAGGTTCACTCCTAGAGGTTCAGGGAAAGCTTGGTGGTAATGAAATCATTTTTTTTAGCGTAATGAATTAAACATGGCTCGTACGTTCTCAGTAATAATAATAATAGTATCCTTTATTTAAACACGATAGGGTTTAAAGCTCAAAGCTTGTGGGGTCGTGTGAAGAAAAGATGGATGAATGCATGAATATTTAGGTGATAAACAACGAATTATCCTAGCTCTTTATTCACACAAATTCTTTCACGGTAAAATCATACAATGTTAGGGTGAGGCAAGATGATAGATTATAATTTCCAGAGTAAGAAAAATGCTAGGATTGTTTAGACCTTAAATAGCGGGCATGGAGGGAAGTTAGTGATAATTGGTCAAATAATAACATATGGGCAATAAAGACTAAGTGATAATTTTGTAGAGAAACACTTGTGAAGTCAGCTCTTCATATTCTTGTCTATTAAATGTCAATGAATACATGTAAAGGTCCATTATGCAGTCAATCTTTTTTTCTTGGTCAGCTCAAAACCAAAATCGATTTTCACTAACAACACAGCCAGTGTGACCCAGTTTCTTCAATTTTTTTCCCGTTGACCCTCTAACTTTTGCTGCGCATGACATTGATAGTAGGCGATGGCACATTGAAGTTCACACAAAACTTCATTTACTTGTAATATTTTTTTTTCCTGCTAACATCTGGAATGTCTTTTCAGGAGGCTCTCGTGCTCTTTCACTCAAAGTGGAGTAAAGCGCTGTAATTTTCACGCAGTTGGAAAGAACGATTCTGCCAATAATAGATACTATGTTGAGAACATTCTTTGCTAATGAATTGACTAAAAGTTTCCAAGAATTGTTTCTATGAGTTACAGAAAAGAACAATCACCATCCCTATATTGTCGGTCTATAGTTTAGATTTTAAAGTAAACTCTGATGAAACTCAATAAATTGATATCTGGCTGTCAGTATTTACTTCATGTTTGTTAGTTGAACCTAAATTAGTGAGTCACATCGACTGAGAGCAAGGTATATTTGTAAAAGAACGAAAAAATATCCATGTATCTTACAGGAAAGTTCGTGGATCCCCCCAACTTTACTTATCATTTTCACTCGTCTTTGATGTTTTTTTCGCGGCACACGGAACCAGCCTTGACTAAAGGTCTTTGCAGGAAAATCGAAAATTGTATGATGCATGAATATTTAGGTGATGGAAAACAGTGAACAGCAAATTATTCCTGTGACAGCCTTGTGTAGCAGGACATTCCTAAAGACGGCTGCAAAAAGCGGTGCGAATTGTTTGAGGATTTCCAACTCAGTTTCTGACTGGACTTCTGATTGAGCAATCGGAAGATATTAACTGAATGATTCACGCTCCCTTTTGATTAGACATTAGTCGCTCATTACAAGTGGCTCCTTTACTGAACTTAACTTCAACGAAATACAACGAAGGTACAATTAAGTACAAAGTAAAATTCGCTGAAATGGTTGTGAGTCCTTGTAGATACGGCTAATTATTCACTGGCACAAAGTGAAAACAATTGAATCGACACAGATGCTGCATGGTGACAGTTTCCAGCAGAAATGATGAATACTTTGCCATGAAAGTTTCACATGACGGGGCTCCTCACCCAATAAAATATAACTTAATTTCTAAAAACGCATAATTCTTCAGATAAATAAATGGGTAAGTTTCTAAATAAACTGTAGTGTTGCGTCGGTGAGAGATTATAACAAGGTAATTTGGTAACTGAGTTAATAACGTGAATTGGCCACCGTAAAGAGTCTAAAAGTTGACGTTTCGAGCGTTAGCCCTTCGTCAAAGCGAGTGGAGGAATTGTGGGTTGTGTCTGTTTTTATATGAAGAAAATTGAGCTACGCTTTTGGTGGGAATATGGTGACGAGAAAACAAGAATAAATTCGTTAAATGAAAGGCGCTCGTTAAGACCGTGGGGATTAAGAGTGCCGACTTGAAACAACAATTTTCGTTCTTGAGTTTTACGGCTTTCCGAACTAATTACCTAGATGTAGGGAAAGACTGCAGACTGCTATATTCTGCTTAGGATGATTGGGGAGATTAAAGTGTCACTGCCACTTTGGTCCCCCTCATTTACATGTGTCGGTAGGCTTTGAAGATCGAGGCATAACACAAGAGACGCTATTCTTATTCGATGACATGTAAATGAGTGGCAGGGTATTCTGCAGTTTAGCCAAACCTGAACTTAACTTCAACAGACGCAAACTAAACCTGAACTAACGGAAGATAATTAGCTTACTTCAAAATACGCAAAATTTAATATAAAATTTGACACATTAAATAAAGGGAGCGCACAATCTAAGACTAATTGACATAAACTACAAGAACGCTAAACTAGCAAGAACTATAAATATTCCGATCAAGTACCGACGACGCAATATTGGATGTGTGAGATCGCTGCACTTCTGTGGGGAACAAAAAAATGAGAGAGGAGGGAGGACTAAGGAGAAATAAAAAGAAACACTTCTCCATGCCGAACCCCTTCCTCTTCATTAGTTAGTTAGCTTCACTGTTACTTCGTCTCACTGTCAGGTCCTCACTCGGTCCAAGCCTTCGTCGATCTTACCGATCGATCCAATATGGCGACTTCTACATTCGGTCTAAGTTCGTCCTCGTTCCTCAGCTCTAACCTTTAGTCACATAAGCGGACTTTGGAACTTTCAAATTAGGCGATTGAAACGAGAAGACTTACTACAAGAAGCCAGGGTTTACTGAAGGATCAAGATTCTCTGGTTTTGAAGGTGGTTATCTCAATTTACAATAAGAAATTGAGAAGCAGTGCACGAGAGCCGATAAGTAAAACGGAAGAGTTGGGGAAAGAGATTGGAGGATGTGGGGGGAGGGGAGAGGGTTGGATGACCAGACTTCCCTTCCCGTCCCAGTTTACTTCGTCTTGTAGGCTCTTCTTTTGCAATAATTCATCGATAGGATAAGGTGTTCCCTATAGGCAAGGAAGAGTCGTTTATGTGGCCAGCTACTGCCTACACGCGTATTACTCAAACAGAAACTAAAGTGCCACAATGAGCTCCAAAAATAGGTACGAGAGTTTCCTGAAGCGGTAGACCGCCCATTCCTTCAATGTGCCGTTTTGATAAGCCTTTTGCGACCTTTGAGGAACACTCGAGGAGCTTGGAAATCAGTGGCCGAAGACAAAAGTTTTATAAAGTGCAGACCGTTGCTTCTATAAAACGGAGGTGCTGGTCTTTTCCTCTTGTTATCGTCCAGGACCAAACATTGGTAATCTGACCGTTGTTGATGAGATGGTTAACGAAAACCCTTGTACATACCTTTCTTACTTCAAAGGTTGATTATTGCAACTCCTTGTTGTATGGCCTTCTCAAATATTTATTGCAAAGGCTCGAAAATTTCGTCGCTTGAAGATGGTAATTAATTAATCTGTGGGAAATAGGACTATAGGAAGTATTTTGAAGAGAAACTGTTGAGAAGTCAGTTTTTCATATTCCTGTGTATTTACGACAAAACACCAACTGCCACGTTATTTATGTGAAATAATCGATATACGCGGTTAAGTCCGCTGACCCGAGCCTTTAGCTATTTTAGCGAGGTAAATCCACATAATAATTAATCTACATATCGTAACACTCTATTAACAATGACATATCTAAGACTGGTTTTCAACTGACTGTGAAAGTTCATTAGGCAGTCACTTTGTTTTCTTGATCAGTTCAAAACCAAAATCGATTTCCAATTTTCGTCAAACCAGTCCAAACCGGTATCTTTGTTTTTCCGCCATTTGGGCCGATTGAGTTTTCCCAGATTTCACTTTTTGCATGATGTAGAATGTATTTCAAGTTGCACCTATTGGAGTCGATTTCAAATTATCCTCAAAATATGTTTTTAAGATTCTACTTCGTATTGTGTCCTTTGGTTAATATCACGCACCTGAATCCACAATTAGTGAATATTTTGATTTTGGTTTCACGATTCCCAGTCAATTGAAAAGCATTCGACCTCTCCTCCAGCATTGAAACCAACTTACAAATATGGCCATGACTCAGGCCGTGTTCAGGTGGTTAACGTTCTTTTTTCATCAGGGTACAAAAGTGGTTATATAAGGAAAGGTGATGACACTTTGCGCAAAACTTTATTTACTTGTCAGACTGTTATGTTTTTGTCAACATTTAGAATAACTTTTAGGAGGTTCTCGAGCTCTTCCACATAAAAAAGAGGAGATAAACGCTGTAATTAGCATGTAGCTGGAAAGAAAGTTTGTTGGTAAATGCATTAACATCTTAATAAGTTGGAGAAAAGTGCCCTCAGTTTTCATGAATCATCGGTCTGAAGTTTAAGTTTCAACAAAGAGTTTAGTTGAAGTTAATAGATTGATTCCTAGTTGTAAGCATTTGCTTCTTGTTGGTTAATTGGACTTTACAGTAAAGTCACAATGTTTGAGAGCAAAGTTTCCTTTTTAAACGAAAGAGGAAATGTTTTTCACCAGAAACAGGAGAATCCCAAAATCTAGTGTATTGATCTCCAAACCATGCACCATTTTCTCTGTATATTTGTCCATATTTCAAATGCCTTTTCCTGCTCTACTGTGCTGAGCCTCTCAGCGTTGAACTATTTGATATGAAGCTATATTGAGGCCACGCCTTAAGACTCACATGGACATTACTTGAATGGCTTTAAAAGCGGGCCAGCGGATTGTGAACTCCAGGAAGAGGAGACTTGGGATGTGCCCAGAAAATTTACCTGCAATCAATTGAAACCTTTTTGTGGGGTAAAATAACTTAACAAAAGCGGAGGGGGGATGCTGAAGAACTTTCGAGGACATCACTGTTTCTGCATTATTCCAAATTCTCCTAACACTGTAATTTAGTGTTAACTGAGTTGAAAACGCAAATTGGCCACCGTAATGAGTGAAAAGCTGACGTTTCGAGCGTTATCCCTTTGTCAGAGCGATTGGAGGAATTGTGGGTTGTGTGAGGGTTTATATGCAGAAAGTGGAGCTACGCTATTGGTGGGAGTATGGTGACGAGAAAACAAGAATAAATTAGTTGAATGAAAAGTGCTCGTTGATACCGTGGGGATTAAGAGTGCCGATTTGGAAGTTAAAATTTTTGTTCTTGTGTTTTGCAGCTTTCCGAACTGCCTTGATGTAAGGAAAGGCCGCAAACTGCCATATGTTCTTTGGAATGATTAGGGAGATTGAAGTGTCTAGCGACTGGTTTGGATGCGTCCTTGTCATTTCTTTCCACGTCGCGAAGGTATTCTCGGAATCGTTCACCTAGTCGTCTTCATGTTTCACCAATGTATAACTTATTGCAATAAGTACAAGTTATGCAGTAAATGACGTTGGCGGAGGTACACGTAAAGTGATCAGTGATTTTAATGGATCTCCTGGGTTCCGACATTTTCTCTACGTTATCAATGAAAGGACAAGTTTTGCATCGTGAGCGAGCGCATTTGAAAGTTCCAGATTGGTCATTGGTTTGAAATTAACTTCTGACCAAAAAGTTGCCTATGTTTTTGTCGAAAAAAAAGCGAATGGAGGAATCGTGGATTATGCAACCTAAAGTGTATCCTACTAACAGCCAGGTGAACCGGAAATTGTGTCGGATAAATTATCGATTTATAATTAGACACTCAGTATTCCATACCTCTAGGGGCCATCGAGAATGTCAATAACAGTTTTTGTTGAGACTGTACAAAGTCTTATTAACTCAGGATAAAAAGTCATTAGCATATGGCATCCATTCCTCGATTTTGTAGACAGTTTATTATGATGCTACACGAAGATTGAAACTTAGTGGTTTTTGTCTTTGGGTCACGATATTTTCTCAACGCTATGAATGAAAGGACAATTTTTAGACCGAGCGCGAGCCCATTTGAAAGTTGCGGGCTGGCTATTAGTGGAGGTTGCGAAAGATAATACCTGTCTCTGAATCATTTTGAAGTAAATTAACTGCATGGTTGTGAGGGTGAAACGTGAACGTGAATGGAATACGATTAGCATTTTTCTTCTGTGACGTTTGTAGTGCTCGATCAATTTGTTTCACGCGGTGGTGGCCTGCTTGAACGACAGAAACATGGCAACCACGTTTTTTGAAAAACTGGCAAATTACCTCTAACTGATTTTTCGAACATCAGAGTATTTTTCGCAGTCCCGTTTCGAACATTTATCTAATCCCGTTGTGACAATCGCTGAGACGCTCATTATTTAACAAAGAGGGTGACCTGTTTTGGGCGCAGATGAAACTTCAGCTGTCTCAATTTGCGTGTTATTTCCCTTAAGCTAAAGCATTGATTGAAAAAGGCTTTATTTAACTTCAATTTAAAGGTCTTTCTCAAAAGCTATCCCGGCCCTATACTCAACTGTTTTACGGTAAATACATTCGCGGTTCGTCATTTTACAGTTTTGTTACGATATTATTTCCCTCAGGGTTGAAAAGACAAGGTGAGATTTTCCTACAATAATGTCTTTTCTATAGTCTTAGTACTACTTTAAAGTTTACTGAGGCAATTTTTTACCTGAATATTATTGTTATTGACATAACTAAGCCTTGGAATATTCGCACAGGATTTTCTCTAAGCATTAAGTACAACGAGTTATTTCGTCTAAATACTTACTCTCCCTGCTATGGCATAGCAGGGAGGCCCACTTTGCGACCCATTTTTTTTTTCTCAATTAGAAGATTACAAACGGGTGTAATTAGGGAAATGGTTTTTTCAAAACGCATAAAATGAAAGTTTGATTCAAAAGAATTAATTGGTATCTGTCTCTGTAATGCTGTTCATTAACATTTTTTACTTTTCGTTACCACACGATGGGGTGAGACCTGTCATGTGTAATGAAATCTGGCTTTTTGTTCAAAATTTGGCTCTAAAGTTGACTTGAAGTTCGTTCAAATTTCACAAAGTCTAGAAAGGACAATTTATGTATTCCAGTTATTTCTAATTTTACCAATAAAAGTATTATCAATAACTAATATGAGTCGATGCACCCTTCAAGTTATGAATAAGATAAGCGTTGTACACCCTGACGTTTTCTTCGTGCGCTGAAGATCGACAAGATGTCTAGATGTATAATTAATTCGGACGAAGAACATTTCGTTTTATCTGCGTGTAATTATCAGTTTTGTAAAATTCGTGCTGATTATTTCTTTCGCAAGGATAACAAGGCATAGCTTGGGCTTCTTATGACTTTGTTCAGATTTAAAAACTTGTTTTACCGCGAGAAGAATAAAAAGTGAGCAAAAAATTAAAACAGAAAAGAACAGAAAAAAAAGAAACTATTCCAAAAACTTTTTTATCCCTTGTTGTAAACGGAATAAAACACATTTACCTGGGCCAGTATTATTATAGTAAGTAACATTAAAAAATATATACATTTTTAGAAAACATCTGTGGGCAAGTCTCATGCATTCAAGTTTGAAATTGTCATCACTGGAGAGATCACAAGCGAGTTATTAAAAAACTGTTTTGAATAATTTGCCACATAGAAAAAAAGGAAAAATCATTGAGGAAATCTTCCTTTATGAATTGAAATTGGAGGTCATTGGTATGATTTAAGTATAATCGAGTTTAACAAACCAACTAAATCCAGGAGGTTCTATCTCCGTTGTAACAATCGCTGAGACACTCATTATTTAACAAAGAGGATGACGTGTGTTTTGAGCGCAGATGAAACTTCAGCTGTCTTAATTTACGTGTTATTTCCCTTAGAGCTGAAAATCTCACAGTCGCTTTTCGCTAGAAATATAAAGGTTTTTTTTATAACAACATGCTCTTTGTATCCCACTGCTTCGTTCTCACCGGTTTGGTTTCCGTAATACCAGAAGGAAAAGGTAAGATTTTCCTACAGTAATGTCTTTCTTATAGCCATAGTACTACTTTAAAATTTACTGAGGCAATTTTTTACCTGTTTATTATCGTTATCGACATGACTAAGCCTTGGAAATATTTGCACAGGATTCTTCTCTTAGTATAAAGTATAAATTTTTTTACAAAAAGACAGCGGAAAAAATGAATTGTAGGAGAACCACCAGTGAAATGAAAGAATTTTCTCCTACTGTCACTTTCTTAATAATTTATTTTGAAGGCTGAATGTTTTTTTTTGTGAAATGTATTTTAAAAAGGACAGTTGTACTTATTAACTGCTGTTCTAAGCCTTTGAGAAAAAAAGGTTAATTCATTGACACCGTCTTACCTATCTATGAATTTTGTTTTTCAGGAAAAATGCTGTGGATATTTCGTTATTTTCTTGTCTGTGTTTCGGTCACCAGCCTTGTAACCGCTGAGGATCAATGCAGGATAGAAATTAACATTCGTGGCATGGCTCTCAAAGGTTTCGTTTTCAAGAGAATGGCGGTAGCAGCTCCTCATATCTGTGATTTCTTATGTGAAAGGGACATTACATGCCAGAGCTACAATTTCAACAGAAAAGAACAGATCTGTGAATTGAACAACCGCACAAAGGACGCAAGACCCGAGAACTTCCGCTCGGATCCAGCGTGGTTTTATATTCGCCGTTTGAACGCAAGAGGTAACTATTCAGCCCATAATGTTTGATAATAATTATCAATATTTTGGTCATACGCTCGACTTTGCTTACAGTCCGCGTTTTCTGATCTCCCACGCTCATCGGTATTGATTTTTCTATCATTTCTCAATTCTAATAATGAACGACATCAGTTCTATTCCTTTTCTTTGTAGTTGCTTTGTAGTTTCCCAGCAATAACGTAGCTCCATCTTCTGCAGATAAACACAAAACCCACAACTCGTGTGGAAACGAAACGAAACGTTAACTTTGAAACTCTGAACGGTGGCCAACTTACGTTATCAACTCGGTTGACAATACCAAATAACCTTGTTATACTCTCTCACCGACGCAGCACCACACTTTCTTTAGAAACTTACCCCCTTTATTCAGTTCAGCTTTTATTCAACTTCTTCAGAAAAAAAGCTTTGATGAATGTGTGAAATAGTGAAAAAAAATTATTTATTTCAATTTCTTCTTTAAAATGATACAAAAAGCTTAGGGTCTTGAAAGAAGATAAAAAAGCTGCTGGCCCTAAAGGAAGGGTTTAAAAGTGTGGGGGGCCCACTTCCCAAGAGAAGGGTGCTTGACAGAGCATTTAATTTAACACATTCAAAGGCGGAAATTTAAGTGAATGAGATTAGATCCTCATTCTAATTCTCTCGTGTTTTTCACTCTCGGCTTTCGACTTGTGCACCCACATATATTTAATTTTCAACATTTTTACCCTTACCAGCTCCCTTGGGTTCGATTCCGGAGTTACCAGCACGTTCATGCCGGGAAATAACAGCAAGCGAAGGAAAAACCACTGCAAGCAACAAATACTGGCTGGATCCATCTGGCACTGGGAAGGGAATTCTGGTTTACTGTGATATGCATTTGGAAGGTAAATTATTAAATTTGCATTCGGAAGGTACATTTTTTTTATATAAAAAAGTCATATACATTTATTCGGTTGGGGGATGGGAGTGTAATGAGTTTGGCGACAACCATGAAGAATTTGGTGCTAACTAAGGAGGATTTTGCTAAAACTAAGTAGTGGTTTGCCACAACTAAAGAGTGTAATGCGACAACTAAAACTTTTTTGCGACAACTAACAAGTGGTTTGCGACAACTAAAAAGAGTTTGGCGACATAAGGAGTGCTTTGCGACAACTTATTGCGGCAGCTAAGGAGGGTTTGGTGATGACAATGGAGAGTTTGGCGACAGGTAAAGAGGGTTTGCTGACAACTAAGAAGAGTTTCGTAACAACTGAGCAGAGTTTGGCGACAATAAAGAAGGGTTTTGCGACAAGTTAGCATTATTCTTTGCCACTTAAGGAGAGTTTGGCAAAGACTGAGGAGAGTTTGACGCAACTAAGTAGAGTTTTGCGACACCTACTGGACCAAATGTGCAAAACTATACTTACAACACCCACAACACTGAAAAACACCCGAAAAAAACCTACTATACCAAACTACACTTTCTACACCAAACTACACCGAACTGTACCTACTACATTAAACTACACCAAACTTCACTTACCACACCAAACTACACCTACTACACCAGCATTCACCAAATACACTTACTACACCAAACTACACCTACTACACCAGCTTTCACTAACTACACTTACTACACCAAACTACACCTACTACACCAGCATTCACTAACTGCACTTACTACACCAAACTACACCTACTACACGAGCATTCACCAACTACACTTACTACACCAAACTACACCTACTACACCAGCATTCACTAACTACACCTACTACACCAGCATTCACTAACTACACTTACTACACCAAACTACACCTACTACACCAGCATTCACCAACTACACTTACTACACCAAACTACACCTACTACACCAGCATTCACTAACTACACTTACTACACCAAACTACACCTACTACACCAGCATTCACTAACTGCACTTACTACACCAAACTACACCTACTACACAAGCATTCACCAACTACACTTACTACACCAAACTACACCTACTACACCAGCATTCACTAACTACACCTACTACACCAGCATTCACCAACTACACTTACTACACCAAACTACACCAAACTACACCAAAAAACACCAGCAGTCACCAACTACACTTACTACACCAAACTACACCTACTACACCAGCATTCACTAACTACACCTACTACACCAGCATTCACTAACTACACTTACTACACCAGCATTCACTAACTACACTTACTACACCAAACTACACCCACTACACCAGCATTCAATAACTACACTTACTACACCAAACTACACCCACTACACCAGCATTCACTAACTACACCTACTACACCAGCATTCACTAACTACACCTACTACACCAGCATTCACTAACTACACTTACTACACCAAACTACACCTACTGCACCAGCATTCACTAACTGCACTTACTACACCAAACTACACCTACTACACCAGCATTCACCAACTACACTTACCACACCAAACTACACCTACTACACCAGCATTCACCAACTACACTTACTACACCAAACTACACCTAGCACATCTACTTCGGTGTTAAATCGAAGGAAGACTGTTAAAAGAAACATGGCCTGAGTCTACCTGCTCGCAGTTCATAACTTATCCAATATACACCGCTGCATATACAAAATAAGCGTGGTACCCACGCAAGCTTTCCTGAACATAGAATTCGTATTCATCTGCCATTTTATAGTTTGATTTGTGCAGAAAGCAGACTTTTCCCAAGAGAAATTCAAGATGGAAGCTTCACTTTCCCATACTCGAAATGACTTTTAGACAATTTTCAAGAGAACAGAAAACCGCTGTACAGCAAAACAGTCATTGTCTCTAAGACAATAGACGAACAAGGTATAATGGGCCACATTACTTTTAAATGAAACACTGCGACAGGTCGTTCAAAGGTCAGCCATATCTGGACAGCCATGTACAATTCAAGCACTCGGCCTCTGCCGCACAGAACTCGAACAGCATCAGCTCAACACCTAGAAATACATTGACTGTTGATGTAAACATCAACAACTACTCAGGTGAAACAAACATGCAGAGAATGGCTGAGAGTCAACAGCTTGAGGATGTGCCACATGAATCGGCCGGTGTTGCGCAAGGTCAAACTCAGAGGCGAGGCAACAATCGAAGGGGAAGTAACGAGCAAAAGTCATACACCGTTGATTTCATAAACAAAACACTAATCGGACGCTAAAACGGAAGCCAAATTCTTGCAGAACTTCCTCTGAACAGGACAAAGAAGAACACAGGTGGTGCAAGGCCAATGAGACAAAAGAGGTTTGGTTGGAACAGATCCCAACGCACTGATAAATATCCTCTGACTTCCAATCTTTTACTCGCCGAGTTTAAACTACGGACATCAGCAGGAAGCAAAGTGTCCAAACCTTGGTTCAAAAAAAAAATAAAATCGAAAATCGAAGCAAGCTAAGGCGCAGAAGAAGCTGCAAAATTTAAAGGAAGCAGCAACTGGCTCCAGAGATTCAAGGAAAGACACAACATAGTACTAGACACAACACAGAGAAGAAGGACCAACAAGTAAAAAGTTTGGGCAGATGATGGCCGGGATACGATCCAGAAATTCCACAGGGATTTGAGGAAAGCCTTGAAAACACAAAGGAGAAGAAACAAGTGCTATACAGTTGACTCAAAGTATGGAAGATGGATACCTAAAAATAGATACAATGTAATATAACCCAATATATAATAGGCTCAGTTATGCACGCATTCTGATTGATTCTCACTTATGATCTAATAATAGTTACATGGAAAGAGGGAGGGGGGGAGGGCTGGTGCATTTTGAATTTGCTTGACTTTTGCTGAGTTTCAAGTCGTTTATCGCCAGAATTGCCATCCCTCCCCCAATGTAATATTATTGCCTTGATTGATGCAGTTAAGGTTAGTTCCATCCATGAATTAACGTAAAAGTTGTGCTTACATGCTGATTTCATCTGTTGGTAGTATATGCAGTATTTAATTTTTAAAAACAATTTTAAAAACACCTTAAGAGCATTTTCAGGTTGGTTGGTTGGTCACCCAATGTATAAGAACAAAATCAGCCTGAACCCCCAAAACACCTGTTCTTTTAAGCGAGTTTTCACTGTGTTGTCAGAGACAAAAGTAACTATGACAATTTCTCACTAGTATCATAACTTTTATCTTTTTGTGTATGTGTTTTATGAAGGATTTACAGCTGTTTTTACAAATCTTGGTAAGAGGGGAACAAAGGGTCCAGACTCAGTTGGCAGTCACTACACAGGTCAGGATCATGACGGACAAGTCACACTGTCCAACGGTATTCAACTGTGGACTGTGCCACACACTGGTGAATACAGAATAGAAACAATAGGAGCCTCAGGGGGGTACAGTGAGGACAGTGTCATCAACGGAGGGAGAGGGGCGCGGATGATTGGAAACTTTATGTTGACCAAAGGTGAGAACATTAGTATACTTGTTGGTCAAAGAGGGCAAAAAGCGTATTCTAACAAAAAAACTGGCTCAGGCGGAGGAGGTACATTTGTAGTAAGAGGAGAGAACAAGCCTTTAATCATAGCCGGAGGTGGAGGAGGAGTTGCAAATATGACAGAACAATATTCAGGATGTGATGCGTCCATAAACACAACAGGGAATGCAGGGTATAACTCGCCATTCCTGTCAGGAGGAATGAACGGATATGGAGGACAAACTGATGAACCGAATTCTGGTAGGTGAAGAATTTTCTATTTATAAATACTGAATTTTTTTGTTTTTCTTTTTCTTTTTCTTTTTCTTTTTTTTCGCATTCTACTGCCATCCATCAATATTTCGAACAAAGAGGTGGTACTGGTCGCTTAAATTTGAATTTTTTTGAGAATTACTAAAAGCCATGATCTTCTCAGTAGCTAATGTCAACTGTAAATCTCTTGATTTTAGGTGGTGGCGGTGGCGGTGGCTTCTACAGTGATGGAGAAAACACAGATATTTCTAAGGGAGGGGAAAGGGGAGGTAAAGGATTTCTAGCCAAGAGAAAGGGAGAGGGGGGGGAGCATATCAGGGGTGGGTTTGGAGGTGGGGGTGGTTATCGTCTAGATAGTGAGCTACCTGGGGGAGGTGGAGGGTACTCTGGGGGAAGTGGAGGTGCGAATAAAAATATTTCCTGTGGGGGAGGGGGAGGTTCTTTCAACAACGGATCAAATCAGCAAAATGAATGTTGTTATAATACTGCTGAACATGGTAGAGTGATCATAACATTTCTCCACTGAAATGCATGGCAGCACTTTTCTTAGCGTCTAGTGGTAATTCTGTTTTGAAGCGCTAATTCATGTCTGTTTTTAAACTCGGTAGTTTAACTTTTTGGATCATTATTTAGATTTTGTTACTAAGTCGTGTTACTGTAAGACAAACAGTGCAACATGTGGTTCTAGAGGCGTTTATATTTGAGGTTAGAATTTAAATTCACCAACAAAATTTGCTAGAACAGGTGAATTTGTGAATTTTTACTGACCTTACAAATTTTTCGACAGCAAAAGCTGTAATATTTGTTCTTTTTCCGGCTCTTTCCGGAGCAAATAATCAGATGTTTTTGACTGTTCATACAGTTCTGTATTCATCTCTCAAGTTCAGTGGACTCAAACAAGTCTTTATTTTAAGCGTTTTAAGCAAGGTTTAGAGCGTGAGACCAATTAAAAATTTTTTGGCTGTGGACAAAGTTGCTTATCTGTTGTAAAAAATCTAAGATCAACGCAAAAACCCGTTGCACTTCAAAGCATAGTGGCTTCTCAACATCTACATGCAAAGATAAGATACCAAAGAACACTGGCGTTCATTACTAATAGAGAAGCTATTTCAGTGAAATTACTGCATGATGTACATAGCTTTTTAGCGCCTAACACTCACAGAGGTTCACTCCTTGAGATTCACTTCCAGAGGCTCACTCCCAGAGGTTCACTCCCATGGGTTCACTCCCAGGTGTTCACTCCCAGATGTTCACTCCCAGATGTTCACTCCCAGATGTTCACTCCCAGATGTTCACTCCCAGATGTTCACTCCCAGATGTTCACTCCCAGATGTTCACTCCCAGATGTTCACTCCCAGATGTTCACTCCCAGACGTTCACTCCCAGATGTTCACTCCCAGATGTTCACTCCCAGATGTTCACTCCCAGATGTTCACTCCCAGATGTTCACTCCCAGATGTTCACTCCCAGATGTTCACTCCCAGATGTTCACTCCCAGATGTTCACTCCCAGAGGTTCACTCCCAGAGGTTCACTCCCAGAGGTTCAGGGGAAACTTTATGGTGATGAAACCATATTGTCAGCGTAATGTTTTCTTAGGCTTAGAGCTTAGAGCAAGGCCCGTGGTCACATGCAAACGAGGGAAGGTGGGAGGGGGGGATGGGGGAGAATGGAAGGAACATGGCTCGTACGTTCTTAGTTGTATGATGAATGAATATGTAGGTGATAAAAAACAGTGAACAACAAATTATCCCACGTCTCTCTTCACACAAATACTTGCGCGTTAAAAGCATACAATGTTATGGTGAGGCAAGATTATAGTTTATAATATCCAGGGGACAATGTCAGCCACAAATTGCTTTCGCTTATAGAATAAAGAAGAGGCAAATGCCAGGAATGTTTAGACTTTAAGTAGCGGGCATGGGGGGAGTTAATGATGATTGGTAAAATAATAACTGAGAAATCATTTTGTAGAGAAACAGTTGTGAACTCAGCTCTTCATATTCTTGTGTATCTAATGTCAATGAATACATGTAAAGGTCTATTATGCAGTCAATCGTTTTTTTCTTGATCAGTTCGAAACCAAAATCGATTTTCACTAATGACACAGCCAGTGTGACTCAGTTTCTTCAATTTTTTTGCCCGTTGGCCTTCTAAATTTTGCTGCGCATGACACTGACTGTATTCAAGTCAACGCAAAACTTTATTTACTTGTTATAGTTTTGTTTTTCTGCTAACATCTGGAATATCTTTTCCGGAGGCTCTCGTGCTCTTTCACTCAAAGTGGAGTAAAGCGCTGTAATTTTCATGTAGTTGGAAAGAACGATTCTGATTATAATAGATAGAAATATATTGAGAACATTCGTTGCTGGTGGATTGACTAAAAGTTCCCAAGAATTGTTTCTAGGAGTTACAGAAAAGAGCAATCACTTTCCTATATTGTAGGTCTATAGTGTAGATTTTAAGGTAAACTCTGGTGAAACTCAATAAATTGATATCTGGCTGCCAGTATTTTCTTCACGTTTGTTAGTTGAACCTAAATTAGTAAGTCACACCGACTGAGAGCAAGGCTAATTTGTAAACGAACGAAAAAATAACCATGTATCTTACAGGAAAGTTCCTGAATCCCACAACTTCACTTATCATTTTAACTCGTCTTTGATGTTTTTTCGCAGCACACGAAACCAGCCTTGACTTAAGGTCTTTGCAGGGTAATTGAAAATTGTATGATGCAAAAATATATTTAGGTGATGGAAAACAGTGAACAACAAATTATTCCTGTGACAGCCTTGTATAACTGGACATTCCTAAAGACGGCTACAAAAAGCGATGCGAATTGTTTGAGGATTTCCAACTCAGTTTCTGATTGGACTTCTGATTGAGCAATCGGAAGATATTAAATGAATAATTCACGCACACTTTTGATAAGAAATTAGTCGATCATTACAAGTGTCTCTTTCACTGAACTTAACTTCAGCGGAAAACAAACAAGGGTATAATTAAGTACAAAGTAAAATTCGCTGAAATGGTTGTGAGTTGCTATATAAAAACTCATCCTAGTAGATACGGCTAATTATTCACTTGCACAAAGTGAAAACAATTGAATCGAGACAGTTGCTGCATGGTGACAATTTCCAGCAGAAATGATAAATACCTTGCCATGAAAGTTTCACATGTACTGAAATATGACGTGAATTGAAGCCTGGACGGAGCTCCTCAGCCAATAAACTTACAATTTAATTTCTAAAAACGGATAACTCTTCAGATAAATAAAGGGGTAAGTTTCTAAATAAACTGTAGTGTTGCGTCGGTGGGAGATTATAACAGGGTAATTTGGTAACTGAGCTAATAACGTGAATTGGCCATCGTAAAAAGTTTAAAAGTTGACGTTTCGAGCGTTAGCCCTTCGTCAAAGCGAGTGGAGGAATTGTGGGTTGTGTCTGTTTTTATATGAAGAAAATTGAGCTACGCTATTGGTGGGAATATGGTGACGAGAAAACAAGAATAAATTAGTTAAATGAAAGGCACTCTTTGATACCGTAGGGATTAAGAGTACCGACTTGAAACAAAAATTTTTGTTCTTGAGTTTTGCAGCTTTCCGAACTAATTCCCTAGATGTAGGGAAAGACTGCAGACTGCTATATTCTGCTTAGAATGATTGGGGAGATTAAAGTGTCTCGCGACTAGTTTGGATGCTTCCTTGTCATTTCTTTCTTTCGTGGCCCCATACATTGAACTCGTTCGGACATAATTAAGCCAAACTAGAAAAACGCATACCATAAATTGCCGCATATAAGCCTCTTCCCGGTCCATCTGACAGAAAACAATGTAGGCTCCCCTAGCTTTTCCTGTTTTGATAGATAGGAACTCTCTGCAGTTTAAAAATAAATCATGGCGCGCGGAACAATAAGTTTATCACTTCCTTTTGATTATTAAGGATGAACCTTCCTTTCGTTATATATATGTTTCAGTTTTGTTCGTGTTGTTAGCTTTAATTTTGTTCCAAATGTATTGAAATGAGGTAACTGCAGGATACCCTGCCACTTTGGTCCACCTCATTTACCTGTGTCGGGAGGCTTTGAAGATCGAGGCCTAGCACAAGAGACGCTATTCTTATTCAATGACATGTAAATGAGTGGCAGGGTATTCTGCAGTTTAGCCAAACCTGAACTTAACTTCAACAGACGCAAACTAAACCTGAACTAACGGAAGATAATTAGCTTAATTCAAAATACGCAAAATGTAATATAAAATTTGACACATTAAATAAAGGGAGCACACAATCTAAGACTAATTGACATAAACTACAAGAACGCTAAACTAGCAAGAACTATAGATATTCCGATCAAGTACCGACGACGCAATATTGCCAAGCCTCAAGCCTTCGTCGATCTTACCGATCGATCCAATATGGCGACTTCTACATCCGGTCTAAGTTCGTCCTCATTCCTCAGCTCTAACCTTTAGTCACATAAGCGGACTTTGGAACTTTCAAATTAGGCGATTGAAACGAGAAGACTTACTACAAGAAGCCAAGGTTTACTGAAGGATCAAGATTCTCTGATTTTGAAGGTGGTTATCTCAATTTACAATAAGAAATTGAGAAGCAGTGCACGAGAGCCGATAAGTAAAACGGAAGAGTTGGGGAAAGAGATTGGAGGATATGGGGGAAGGGGAGAGGGTTGGATGACCAGACTTCCCTTCCCGTCCCAGTTTACTTCGTCTTCTACGCTCTTCTTTTGCAGTGATTCATGATTCATGATTCATCGATAGGATGAGGTGTTTCCCATAAACAAGGAAGAGTCGTTTTTCTGGCCAGCTACTGCCTACACGCGTATTACTCAAACAGAAACTAAAGTGCCACAATGAGCTCGAAAAATAGGTACGAGAGTTTCCTGAAGCGGTAGACCACCCATTCCTTCAATGTGCCGCTTTGATAAGCCTCTTGCAACTTTTGAGGAACACTCGAGGAGCTTGGAAATCAGTGGCCGAAGGCAAAAGTTTTATAAAGTGCAGACCGTTGCTTCTATAAAACGGAGGTGCTGGTCTTTTCCTCTTATTATCATCCAGGACCAAACATTGGTAATCTGACCATTGTTGGTGAGATGGTTAACGAAAACCCTTGGACATACCTTTCTTACTTCAAAGGTTGATTATTGCAACTCCTTACTGCATGGCCGACCCAAATATTTATTGCAAAGGCTCGAAAATTTCGTCGCTTGAAGTTGGTCATTAACTAACATGTGGGAAATAGGACTATAGAAAGTATTTTGAAGAGAAACTGTTGAGAAGTCAGTTTTTCATATTCCTGTGTATTTACAACAAAACACCAACTGCCAGGTCACTTATGTAAAATAATTTATATACGCGGTTAAGTCCGCTGACCTGAGCCTTTGGCTATTTTAGCAAGGTAAATCCACATAATTATTAATTTACATATCGTAACATTATATTAGCAATGACATATCTGAGGCTGGTTTTCAACTGACTGTGAAAGTTTATTAAGCAGTTACTTTGTTTTCTTGAC